GAAGAATAGCCCAGTGTATTAAACTATGGAGCATTATATTTCAAAAAAATTAAAAAAAAAAAAAAACTATGGAGCATTACTAGGAAGCAACAAGGACCATCCATAAGAGAATGGAGCCGAATCCAACGGCATGCATTCCTCCAAGGTGCAACACGTCTGTTGCATATCATATCCGTAATCAAGCATACTGTCGGACAATCCAACGGCCCCGACACACACTGCTGCATTTAGGGAGCTCAAAATTGCACGACGCACCATCCTCACTGTCCACTCTTGACTTCTCAAAAGTTCGCTCCTTTGTCTCCCTCGCCCATGAATTCCTTGCTCAAAATTCGAAGGCCTTTTTGCTCCTTCGTCGTCACTGTCTCTCTGCGGCGCTTCTCCTCAACACTCAACCCTCGTAAGCTTCTCCTCCGTCCTCTATATATCATGATTGAACAACTTGTTTAATGGGTCTTCTCTTTTTTCTTGTGGGCAGATGTTTTTGAGGAGAAAAGGGAGGCTTCTAGTTTCATACACCCAACTGCAGTTATTCATCAAAATGCCGTGATTGGTCAGGTGCACTTTTTTCTTCCTTGTTTAAGGCCTTTTCTCTGTCTTTATTTATAATTATAAGTTCGATTCTTCCTGGGGATTTATTATAAAGGTGATTGATTGCAAAGGTGATTGATTGTTGGACGAAAGTCTTATCAATTTAAGAGTTAATTGGAAAGTCTGCAACTTTTAGATTTTATTCAGCAGATTGATTGCTGGGTTGGCTTCTAATGATTAGTGGAATATTAAAGTTTTAAAATTTATTGCAATTCATGGAGTTCAACTTTTACTGCACAGGGCGTCTCAGTAGGTTCTTTTTGCACCATTGGTTCCTCTGCAAAATTAGGAAATGGATGCCAGATGTATCCTGCAAGCCACATCTTTGGTAATACAGAATTGGGGGATCACTGTGTCTTGATGACGTGAGTTTCTGTTGTGGTTATCTGTTTCTTGTTTTTCTTCTCTTTGTGTAGTCTAGCTGTTTGACAAGCAATCTGTTTTTGTAGTTTATGTTGTAATTGTTAAAGTACTTAAACTTTGTCAGGCAGGGGTGCTGTGGTTGGTGATGATCTTCCTGGGGGTATTGTCATAGGTTGTAATAACATTATTGGACATCATGCCGTGGTTGGTGTTAAATGTCAAGACATGAAATACAAGGTGAATTTCTATTGAATTAGATGTTTGCTTCTCTTATTTACCTCGGATTTGGAAATTAAACATATGCCCATATTGGTTAGTTATGATCTTACTGGTCTGAGCTGCTTACCACTTCCTATGGAGCTTGCTATCATCATTTACTTTGCTGCTAACTGTATGCTAATGAGTAGGCTGCAGAACTTTGACAAATCCTTCTAATATAGAAGCTTAACTCATGTAGGTATTTGTTGATTATATAGGAGCTTAACTCCATGTTTTGGGAAAAACAAAATCAATCATCTTTCTTTTACTCTGGTTTTAGTCAGGGGATGAATGTTTCCTTGATATTGGGGACAACAATGAGATCAGAGAACACACTTCTATCCACCGATCTTCAAAGTCAAGTGATAGAACGGTATTACATTTTTTTCTGAAGAAAAAAACATGTGTTCTATAAAGACATCTTCTCCTAACTAGTTCTTTATAATCAGGTCATTGGTGATAATAACCTTATCATGGGATCTTGTCATATTGCTCATGACTGCAAAATTGGCAACAATAACATATTTGCTAATAATACTCTTCTGGCAGGACATGTGATGGTGGAAGTAAGTCCTCTGGCTATTTCTTTTGTTGGATAGATGGCATTGTTCTGCAGTTTTTTATGTTATTTATGTCTGATTGAGATTTGATTCAAGTGCTGCCATGTAGGATTATGTGCACACTGCTGGAGCTATTGTTGTTCATCAATTTTGTCATGTTGGCTCATTTTCTTTTATTGGTGGCGGTGCTGTGGTATGATCTGTCTTCACACTGATATTGGTTATTATCCATCTTCTCTTACTGTTTCTATTTTATTCCTTTTTGTTTGCCCCTTGAAAGAAAAGGAGTCTGAGATGAGTTTAAGTGAAGTGTCCATGTAATGACTTGTTTTAAGTCCATGAAAGGCATGTGCCTTGCTTGTTAGTGTGTCTAACAGTGCCATAAAATGCTAAATAAGTCATCTGTCATTGATCACGTGTACTATAGTTCTGCTAAGAAATGGCAGACCTACTTTTGTTCTTGCCATCGCCAACGAAATTCAATTTTGTCTTATATATGTATGCCTATGCTTTAAGGTTTCACAAGATGTCCCTAAATACATGATGGTGTCTGGAGAAAGAGCTGAGCTTCGTGGTTTGAATTTGGAAGGTCTTCGTCGTCGTGGATTTACAGTCACTGAGGTGAGTAAAGAATCACTTTTTTTTAGCTGGGTTTATAATTTTTTATATTACAAATCTGGGATAAAAACTTGCTATAAGTACATGTTTTTAATCATGTGCTCTCTGATGCTTAAAGTTGCATATCATGATACTGATGCTGTAAACCCTATTTCCGATCTAGATAAGGAGTCTGAGAACAGCTTACCAAAAGATTTTCATGCGTGTAAGTGCTAATCCTATGGGTTTTGAAGACCGTCTTGATAAAGTGGTAATCTCTCTCTCTTACACACACAGCCGCTCACCTACCCCTCATCGCATATGCAACTAATTTGTGTCAATGTACTTGCAATTAAGAAAGCTAAAGTGAGTTTGCAGGAGCAAGATGAAGAGTTGGGCCTTGTTCCTGCTGTAAGTTCAATGATACAGTCTATTCGTGGTTCTTTTGCTGAAAACCGTCGTGGAATCTGCAAGTTCAGGCAATGGACAGGCTCTTAATAGCATGCTGCTGTAAGTTTAATAATGTCTATCACAAACTTTAGGTTGCATTTGGATGAAATGACATTTAGGAGTGATTTTGTAGCATGAAAGAATGTCAGAATCCTTTTCTAATTACCCTTTTTTCTTTTATCAAATTTTTGTGGTCTTAATAAAAAAAACTTGTTACTAGAAATGATCTTTTGAAATAGCTATCTAAAATTCCTCCTCTGGTTCTCCTCTTCTTTTCTACAATGCCGTACCATTATCTAGAAAGGATTTGAAATTCTTTCATGTTATGATTTATGGAATCCCTTTTGAATGTTATTTAATCCAAAAGCAACCTTATTGTTTTCTTTATGACTTCATCTATGAGTTTTATCCTGCAAATCTTAGAAGGAATCTAAATCGGATTAAGTATTTTACCTAAATAGAAAGTTCATTGTTTTGTTCATCAAAAAGGTTTGGGTTTTTTTTTCTTTTTTTGGGTACAAATCAGAAAAAAAAGAAAAAAGTTTAATTTTTGGCTTATTTGTATTTTCAGATTCTAATTAAGAACCATTACATCAAGGCAGCCAAGATTAACCTGCAGCATGAGTACAATTCTGAGCAGCTTTTGCAAGAGTTCAATCTGTAGCTTTACATACACATTCACCTTTAGGCAGATATTAATTCCACAAGAATCAGGGATACCAATTTTTGGTCTGTTGGCTAACGCCTACTTCTCCACCAGATTCCAGAATTCCATCTTCTCTGCATTCTTCTGTTGTTTGTTATATGGCTAAAATTTCCAAATTTATGTTTTGACACTTGTGGTCGGTGGTCTCTCTAAGTAGCCTTAATTCCAATGTCTCAAACAGAGAAAAACTATGGATTTGCTATTTCTCCTTTCAACTCTAGAAAATTGTTATTCTTTATTTCTTTGATACCACTTGCTAGAGAACTAAGGAAAACCTGTTATTATTCGAGTAGATTAAACCGTTGACTGCATGGTTCATCTGAGGAAGATGGATGAACTCACTCTTCACTGGCTGCAGGAGCCTGACTTATCTGTCTTCAACACATTCCTGTTCCAAAAAAGGTTAAAATGTGAACTCTGGCATTTTTTCTATTCGAGGATAATTTTTTTTTTTTTTTGATTTTTAGTTAGGCTGTAAACTTTTTTTTTATTATTATTTAAAGATATGAACTTTGCCCTATTTCGACTAATATTGCTGTTTGCTAGGTTATTATTGCTATCCAATAAATTTTGAAATAAAAAAAATGCATAGTTTGTCTCTTTATTTAGAAAAAAAAAAAAAAGAGTAAAAGTCTACGGCTTGATTTAGAAATATGAAAAGTTTATATATTAAAATAGATAAAATGATAAAGTTTGTATCTTTATCTGTACATTTTCTCTACTCGTCCCTCATCTTTGTTTATTGGCATATCCTGTTGTATATTCTGCCATGGAAAGATCATGTTAATATGTCAGGTTCTATTGTATCTACCTGTATCTAGGGCTGGGCTATCTAGGGCTGGGCATTCGGGTGGGTGGCCGAAGGATTATTTGGAAATCAAACCGAAAAAAAGAATTTGGTTTGATTTTAATGATTTTTGAGTTTTATTGTTTTGATTTTGATATTAATTGAATAAATTTTGATTTGGTTTTGGTTGAATCTTTTATAAATTAAAAATTGAAAATGAGTCTCTTGAAAACTAAAATTTCGATAAATATGACAAAATATAATAAAATATGAGATAAAATATAATTTATTATCAAGAAAAAAATTGATTAATATTTATTTAGTAAAAATTGAAACCAAACCAATTTTATCAATAACCAAATTGATTGGTTTGTGAAAACTTTGGTTTGGTTTTGGTTCTCAAAATTGAAGAAAAAAATTTTCGGTTATTTTAAAAATGGTTTTTGCCCACCCCTACCTGTATCCCATATTCACATTCTTCAACTGTTAATGGATCGAATTATTGGAAATGACTTTAGTTTAGACAGAAAACAGCTTTCTAATTTTGGCATATCCAAACCAACGGCATCTGCATGATGTGCTCTGGATTTTAATATCCAATGATTCTCCTCCAAATTGCTTCAAAAAAGCCATCAGGTTTCTCTTTCAGGAAAAAAAAGAAAAAGGAAAAACTCAAGCTTCCACTTTCCTACTATTCTTTTTTCATCAGAAAGGAACTTGCTTCGTGTTTCTTCCACCTATTCGTTTCATTGCTGTATGTTTCAGAATCACATGTAACTATTATTTCATCTTTTTGAAAGAGAATAGTTAATAAGCGTGCAAATTCAACTAGAATTGGCCATAAATTTTCATGAAAGATTAGAGGGGGAGATATTGAATCTAAAATCTGTAGTGTTATTGTCTATATGTGAAATCGAATTAACAATATTCATACTTAAACCTCCTAAGATAACCCTAATTATGATGGGTTACGCCCACCACCCTTGAATGTAGCTTTTGCTTAGTGCTTGACTGCTTGTAAATAAGATAATTTGTATGTGCTAGGGAGACTAAACAAGTCAAAAGTTAAAATACTTATGTTATTTAAAAAATCTAGAGACGTTAAAGTCCATCTATTAAATGGAGCCTTACCTGGTGCTTGTAGATAAAGGAGTTTGTACTCGACCAAAAATAAAAAAAGATAGACTAATTCGCATACTTTATGAGACTAATCAAGTTAAAGATTTAGATACCATGTATCATTTAAAAAAAACCAAAATATTTGAAAGTGCATGTATCTTCAACATTCAACAAATGCTGCAGACAACTCTTAATTGTACTGGGTTAAGAAAAACATGATCATCGATGATGTAATCTTTGCCATTCTTTTCTCATGTTTGAGACAGGCACAGGCAGTTTATGTGAGAGTGAGATCTGAGCAGATGTCATGAACTTAAAAGAGGCATTTTGAGTGCCTTTTCCTTTGCAATTAGTGGTTTAACTCCTCTATGAATGTGACTTGTGCGGTGATCTTTTGTTTGCAAATACTATAAACAACCAATAATTTTGTTTTCTTATTCTTTATGCTTTAAACCGAACTAGTTGCTTCCTACCAAAAAAAGGAACCTAGTTGCTAATACTTCTTTTTTATTGGTAGTTGCTAATACTTTTTAAATCATGAAATAGGTGATTTTGGGTTTAATTTCTAGAAAACTTGATATTCTAGTCATCTTACTTACAAAATCAAAATGATAAGTATAGATGTCACAATGTACAGAAACTAACTCAAGATATGATGGTAAAGAAAAAATAACTAAACAAAGGAGACAATAACTTAGTAATTAAGGAAATGCTAAGAATTAAAAATCTTAAGTTTGAATACTCAAAATCCCTTGAATATCACATAAAGAAAAAACCTCACCATCTCTGTACATTACAATATACCATTTACAAAGCAGAAAAAATGAAATTAGATTCTAAGGTTTTGGAACCTTTACCTTAACATTGAATCATGAAATCTATGTATCTCTCTTCTTCTTCTTCTTCTTCTTCTTTCTTTCTTTCTTTCTTTCTTTTTTAATTTTTAATTCTATTTTATTTTATTTTTGTCGCTGTAAAGCTGAAATCTTTTATGTTATTATTGACTATTGTAGCATCAACCTAGAGACCAGAGCACATTGTTTTTCATGAGTATGAGATCAAACAATGGATGGAAAACATTTTAAATAAAATAGGGCCCTTTGGCATTGTTTGGTACTTCCACTTAACTTTTCTTTTTTATTTACAAAGAATTGGCATCTATAAAGTGCTTTTAGTACTTTTGAATAAATGAGGGACAAAAAAGGAGACACATTCATCAAACACCACTTTGATGCAAAGCTTTTTCCCACTCTAACAACATAAAAAACATGCTCTAATAATCTTACTACCTCTTTAAAGACCTAACCTTTGGGTTTGTTTAGCAGCGTCAAGTCAGTGCACAATTGGCAAAGCTTGTTCTTATAAATTGCAGTTGGTGCTTACCTATTTGAATAAAGTTAGTTTTTTGTTTTTTTTTTTTTTTTTCTATAAAGGCATGATCAGACAAGAAGTACTAGAAACGAATAAGAGAGAAAAAAAAGGTTTTGCTAAACTTGTTAAATTAAATAGTAAGGCTCCATTTAATATATTTATGGTTTTGATTTTTATAATTGGGTTTTTTT